TGAACCTGACCAGCACTGACTACAGGAAGCCCGAGGCACAGTTGCTCTGCCCCGGGCTTCCTGGAATCAGCGTCTGATCAGTTTCAGCAGCAGCTGACTTGGGGTTATTAAGTTGAATCTGTATGTAAGTCAGAACTGGCGGTCAGTTTCAGCAGCGGCTGAATCTGGACGCCAGTTCCGACTTACATACAGATTCAACTTAAGAACAAACCTACAGTCCCTATCTTGTACGTAACCCGGGGACTTCCTATACTCTTACCTAAGTAGCTGTTTCCCATTTTGTACGTATGCAACGGTTACTTCCAAATTGGAGAACTTTGCATTTGTCTTTATGGAATTTCAACCTACTTATCTGAGACTTTCTCCAGTTTGTCCAAATCATTTTGAATTTTCATCTCATCCTCCAAAGCACTTACAAAACTCCTTTCCCCCACCTCGGTAACATCTGCAAACTTTATAAGTGCTCTTTCTATGCCATTATCTGAAAGATGTTGATGAAAATATTGAACAGAATTGGAACAAGAACTGATCCACTTGTTTTGCAGTTCCAACATCACTGTGAACCATTGATAAAAAGGCAAATAGGATGCTAGGAATTATTAGGAAAGGGATAGAAAATAAGACCCAGAATATCTTACTGCCCCTGTATAAATCTATGGTACGCCCACATCTTGAATACTGTGTACAGATGTGGTCTCCTCACCTCAAAAAAGATATTTTGGCCTTGGAAAGGGTTCAGAAAAGGGCAACTAAAATGATTAGGGGTTTGGAATGGGTCCCATATGAGGAGAGGTTAAAGCGACTGGGACTTTTCAGTTTAGAAAAGAGGAGACTGAGGGGGGATATGATAGAAGTCTATAAAATCATGAGTGGTGTGGAGAGGGCTGATAAAGAAAAGTTATTTATTAGTTCCCTAAATAGAAGAACTAGAGGACACCAAATGAAATTAATGGGGAGCAGGTTTAAAACGAATAAGCGAAAGTTCTTCACACGGCGTGTAGTCAACCTGTGGAACTCCTTGCCAGAGGAGGCTGTGAAGGCTAGGACTATAATAGAGTTTAAAGAGAAGCTAGAGAATTTCATGGAGGTTAGGTCCATAAAAGGCTATTAGCCAAGGGATAAAATGGTGTCCTTGGCCTCTGTTTGTCTGAGGCTGGAGAGGGATGGCAGGAGACAAATCGCTTGACGGTTGTCTTCGGTCCACCCTCTCTGGGGCATCTGGTGCTGGCCACTGTCGGTAGACAGGATACTGGGCTAGATGGACCTTTGGTCTGACCCAGTACGGCCGTTCTTATGTTCTTATGTTATAACTTCTCTCTAAGAATAGTTATCCAACTGGTTAAGAACCACATTATAACAGCTCCATCGAGGCTGTATTTCCTTAGTTTATTCATAAGGTGATCATGCGAGACTGTATCAAAAGCCTTACCGAAGTCTAGCTATACCATTTCTACCACTTTCCCTTATCCACAAGCCATCTTACCCTATCAAAGAAAGCTATCGGGTTAGCTTGATGTGATTTGTTCTTGACAAATTCATGCTATTTTTTATCATCTTATCTTCTAGATGTTTGCAAACTGATTCATTATCTTTTCTGGTTCAGAATTTAAACTGACTGGTCTGTAATTTCCTGGGTTGTCCTTATTTCCCTCTTTATAGATGGGCATTATATTTTCACTTTTCTAGTCTTCTGGAGTCTCTCCTGTCTTCCATGACTTTTAAAAGATTGCTTATTTTCAGCAGTTATAAACTGCCTAGTTATTTATTTATTAATAAACAAAATCTACTTGGCTTTAAACAAATTATTTTGTCCCTACATAAATATATGTATCTAATAAAATGGTAAACTGCATTCACAATAATTCTGAGAAACAATTTCCTTTGGAATTAACTCGAGAAAAGCACCCCCAGGAGTGGTTTACTATACAGGGTGTAATCTCTTTTAAAGCTCTCTGCGGAGACAAAGATATTGTAATGGAAATCACCAGGGACTTGTGGTATTTTTTGTTTGCTTTATTTAATAATAAAAATGTTTAATAATTGTGACTATTTTTCTTAGTCTTAAACATGGTGTCTCCTAAAGTACATAAGATACCCTCTGACTAAATAGTGGGAGCCACCTCTTTGAGTTGGTAGCCAGAAAAACAATAAGAACTAGCCTACCACTTTGTGTTGCTCTCAGCTAAATATTTTAGTAATTTTTAAAATAGTTACTTTGTTTTTCCAACAATTTAAAATGATCCTTTTCCACTCCATCTGTCCCCTCTTCACTGTTCACAAAACAGGTCTCTATCTGAGGTTGCAAACAAAGTGTTGAGGGTAGTCTATAGTGTGTTGGTGGGCACACAACCAAGTATAGCATGAAGTTTGTTATAAAACAGCAGGTCTGGTGGCAACAACAGATTTATTGTTGCCCTCTCTTGCCTTCTGGTATCCTAGGGAAAGTTCCTTTGTTTTCAGGTGGCACTGTTGCCACACAGATGTCAGTATTTCTATGGCTGTTCAATAGCTGTGTGTGCACAGCCTTTTCTCTCCCATAGGCCACATAGATCCAGAATTTCTTGCCTGTTCTCAGCAGGAGTGCTGCTGTGGTTGTGACTGGTGCTGGTAGGTTTGATGCACACAGGGAGCTGGTGGGGGCAGTTAGGAAAAGGAATTTTAAAAACACAGGAAGTTTCAAAAGGAGGGGTGAGTGGGTGATGCACAGCTTCTGGTCTTTGGTCACAAATTTCAACTCCATAGCCACAAGGTCACAAAGTGGCCACTGTTGAAAGAATTAAGGGCACTGTGGGACAGCTACTGGAGTGCAGTTAGTATTGACATAGGGAGTGCAGCATTTATACTCACACCATTTCACTCTGAAATAGATCAACTGTGGCTTTGCATCAGTTGGGAAGATGGTATCACTGCATCACTGTAATGATGTTCAAATGTTGATGTAGACAAATCCCATAACTAGGTGGATTCAAGTCAATTTACATTGACATAACTTTGTAATATAGGCCAGGCCCGAGTATACAAGTTCACTAAGTGATTGCTAAAAATCAGACTATGAAATGCATCTTAAAATCTTTGTCAGAAGTTTGCCAGAAATGTTTTTAACAGATGGTATAAAAAAAAATCCAGAGATTTTAATATTTGAAATATCCCTCTTTCAGGCATCAATAAATTTACTAAGAAACTTCGCAGTCCATATGCGATTGATAACAATGAGGTACTTGACTTCCTTTCCAGAGTTCCCTCAGATGTACAAGTGGTGTGTATATATTTTTTAAATTCTCATATAGTTGTTGGTTTAACATTAGATTATTAATTCTATGGCTTAGTTTTAAAATAAGAAAAATCATTTTGTTTTGACTTTGATTTTTAATTTTTATGGTCTAAAATATCAACAGGCTGGTGAGTCTTCTATACGTTTTTTTACTATTTTTTGCCACTGTTGTGGCTTGAGGGATCCTCAGGGCAATCAGTTAATAAAAAAAAAACGTTTTGGGAAATGGTAGCATGTGATGGAGTTGCTGTTATCCAATCACCGGGGCTCTTGTAAATATCACCAGAGTAACATAGTGCTGGGGTTTGTTTAGGAAGTACTGCTGCCTTAGGCCATCAGCCCCGGAAGAGAGGAAATGGGAGAGCACATAATGAAAGAAAATTCAATAGTGCAGAGTCAGGGGCAGGCTCTTTTGTGACAGCACTGTGAATCTGAGTTGTTGTTACCACCTATTTTTCTAAGGTGAGAATTTTTTGTTTTATTTACTATAGGTGATGAGGTCACCCTTTTAAAAAAGTTATGAAGCTTGTGCACTTATATTGTGGTGTGGGATCTTACATGAACTGTTAAGTGTTGCAGAATGATGCTTTTATAAATCTCTAAGTAGAGCAAGAGGCTAGGCTTTCAGCATTTTCAGATGCTGGATTAAATTCATACTCTGTGTGAATAGGAGTTGCACTATCATAATAGTGTCAGCTTTGCATTACTGAAGAATGTATTAAATAAAAGACTGCAGAGAATTTTTATTGATCTCTTTCAACTGGATACTCCTTTATTTTCAGTGTAATAATTTTTGAGGAAAACACAGACTTCACTAGTTTTCATCAATGCCCTTTTTATTTCCTGGTAAGATTTTTCTAATACTGATTTTGCTGCTTACTCCACATCTATCACTTGTATGGATCTGCAGCTGGGGTGCAAAAATCATAAGCTTGAGGCAGGATAGTAATTTGCCCAAAGAAGAAAAATAAAAGCCTCTTGTTTTTTGGTACTCTTTCTTTGCTGGTGAATGCTTACCTGACCAGTTTATTTCTGAACATTCTGTTTAAACAGGTGCAATATCAAGAACTAAAACAAGATCCCAGTCACAGCCCAAATAAGAGGAAGAGAAACAATCCTGGCTAGCCAACTTCATCTACTGAGGAGTCTAACATCTGCTGAGGCAAGATAAAAGAAAAAGCCCATGGCCTAGAAAGCATTACTTTACTTAAGCTTTTTATTTATTTGCTTTTTTAATCACAATGGAGAGAATTTGTAAATACTGTACAAAGGCATTTCACTGAAAATATAGTAATACTGTACAGACAAATTTGATGAAGCCTTCACATATGGGTTATGCTGTGTGGAAAGCCCGTGACTGAGGACATAACACAATAAAAGTACCTAATGTAAATTAAGTGGTAGATGCGTAATATCTTTTGATGGTAGAAGACACGTAAAACTATTAAAATTCAAGTCATGCTGATTAAATTTGCCAAAAATATAAATTAGATTTGAAAATGTAAGTGCAGTTTTATTTGAACATTAATATTTTTAACCAACATATTTCCATTACAATTTTTTGTTTTATACCGTTCAATGAAAACAAGAGTATAATGGAACTTACTACGTTTAGACCCTCTTAACTTCTGGTTCAGTGTATTCAGACTGACTCAGGATGCCTATAAACTGATGAGAAATGCACCAAGTGCAAATCTCTTATTGGAGCTCCATTAATTGAAGAGATTCCTGCCTTTATCATTCCATTATGAGACTTTAAAATACATATATAAAAATACTGCCAGATTTGTAACTGACTGCATATCTTACTTTTTATACGTACCACTAATATTAATTTGTACTAACTAGTTTAGTGAAGGAAGTACATAGTTCAGTTGTAAAGAAGATTCTGCCAAACAAAATCAATATTGCTTCAGGTATTCGACTATGAACATCATTTGTGCACATACAGTTGTTTAATGTTAAACTGACAATGTTTTTCCTTTCTAATTAATTACAAGGACATATTAAAATACTTGATTGCATACTATCTTACCTGTTACTAATGACATGCAGAGTAGAAGAAAAATTCAGTGTGATAAAAGTGATGCCAGTTCTATTTCTTTTTTTAATAGAGACCTACCATAACGCATGAAAGTCTATTTTGTAAATTAAATGACACACACAATTTACATTTCAAATGTTTTAACAGCTATTGTATAAATAATACCTAGGGATATATTCTCATCTCTCTGCATGGAGAATTCTATACCTAAAGTTACTCCCCACCTAGGTGTGTAATACACAATAACTGGAACCCTAATTGTTAGATCAATTATCAAAATTCCCTGTAATATTACTGGGAGTATTGACTGAGTAGGAACTGCAAGACTGTAACCACAAGAGAAATTATCTGTGCCATATGTTGTAGAGCAGCTGGCTTATGTTGTGATTGCAAAGAAAGTTGTATTGCACTACTATTGCAGTTAAAGTGTGTGCAGGGAAATGCGTATATATGTGCCTAAATAATTAACTGCATTGCTCATGAGAACTAATTTGGAAACTTAGTTTTGTTGTAAAGATATGTTGCTAATTTCAGTGTTTCCTATAATAGTTATTTTGATCTTTTCTGTTTGTATAACATGCCTGAAAAAATGCCACTCCTATTACCATTCTATGAAAAGGCTTTGACCTAAATGTGCTTCAGTTAGATCATTGTTATAGGAATCTATTTAAAATGCACCTATACCCATCCTTTCACTGTTGGTTGCTGAAGAACAATACACAATTAATGAAAAACTCCTCCATACTTAAACATTCTTATTGATGGGACTTTTGTTTGAAATAGCTTTCAATTTGATAAACTGTAAAAAAAATTTTGTCCCCTTATCCATTTGTGTGGACTTTCTCTGTTGTACTGAAAGCCTTGTAGTCGGTATCATCAGATGTTGTGCAATTTCCTATTCTGCATTTCTAATATTTAGTTCTGTGGTAACGTCTACCTTATGAACATTTACAGTATTGTCCAGCTACACTGGAAAGTGGTTTGAGCTGCTAATTTCATTCATGTGTGAGGTACTCTGAGCCATTTAAGAAAGTGTGAGTAATTCCATAAGCAGATAGGGAAGGGGCTTCCATCAATGTCCCCTCTTTGCTATTCTTCTGCCCCCTTCAAATGTGGATTAAATGGAGTGTGTGTGTGTGTGTGTGTGTGTGTGTGTGAGAGAGAGAAACTATGGAGGACCTCTATGGCTTCTGCTCCTTGGAACAAATAGCTTTTTAAACTCCTTCACCAACCCATTGATTTATGCAGTATGCACAGTGGACAGCTGCGCCACATTTACATAGGCTAGGACAGTGGTCCCCAATGTGGTGCCCATCGGCACCATGGCGCCTGCTGAGTGAGCAGGGCTGGTACAAGCCATTCTTGTGCCCCGGGCATGCGGCGCATGCGCAGCCCCACCCCCGGGGGGGGGGGGGCGGCAACCCCAAAAGGTTGGGGACCACTGGGCTAGGATGTCATCCTTTAAGTTCTGTTTCATGTTTACTGCCAAAGCCTCCAACCCTGCTGTGGGGAAGATTACCCCCTTACCCCGCACACTTTACATTAGCCTATATTTTCAGAATGCACTCAGGGCACTGTAATAATTGCTTCTCCCTCCCACCTCATCAGATTGGCTATTTCTCCACTTCTAAGGGAAGGTGCTGCTCGACTGACATGGACCTATCGGGTCTGAGAATCCTCCCTATCCCCTGGGCAGCAGCAGGTGAGGACAAATGGGTCAGCCTCCATCAGCTGACCTGCTCTGTAGCAAAAAGTCACTCTTGAGCTTGCTTGCCCTTAAAATGCGTGCACCTTTTCCTATCTAAACAGCCTCCACTGCTTAATGTACGACAAGATCATTAAACAAAAACATGCTGTCAAGTATGTTAGAGATTTGGCAGCATTTTTGTTTGGTGACCTGTACTCTTGTTTTCTCATTAATTTTATATGCTGGAAGAAGCATGGACTAGAGCTGAATGAAAACTGCAGTACATTTTTCCAGATTAAAATGAAAAGTAGAGAATTACCACTTAATATTTTAATGCTTCAGTCCATCACATGGTGCAAACAAAATGTACATAAGCAACACTGATTAAAGTGCTTCAAGTCCATGCTTTACCATGATAACTTTTTTAAAGCAAGTGCTTCACCAAGATTTTTTGCTGACTTGCCAGTTTTGCTCTCAGAGGCTATGTTTACACTACAGCATTTTTTTTGAGAAACAGACTTTTTTCCAAAAAAAAGTCTTGTGTGCACTAAAATCGTATACTGTTGACAAAAAAATTGAAACAGGGTTTTTTTTCCAACATTGGTAAACCTCTTTCTATAAGGAAGAAGCCTTTTTCTGAAAGAGCTCTTTCAGAAAAAGGTGTGTGTAGACAAGGAAGATGGAATTCTTTCGAAAGAAGAGGAAAAAGCACAGGTGCCTTGGTGGTCACTCCATCCATAGTAATCACAGCTTAAATGCACTAAGCATCCATTCAGTGTGGATGCTAATCTTTTGAACAAGCAGATTGCTTTTTTGATGCATTTTTGCTATGTGGATGCTTTCTTTTGGAAGATGTTTTTTCAGAAAATCTCTTCCAGAAAAGCTTCTTCCGAAAGAAGCCTTGCAGTCTAGACGTAGCCAAAGTTGTCCATGGTGCTTTGTGCAGGATGCCTTTTGGAGAATAGTTTTGACTTGCACCTCTGATTAATTCTAGATATCTAATTTCTACAGCTGTTAAGAATTTCACATGTCATTTCTGATAAATGACTTTTGTACAGTAACATTTTACCAAAAAATTAACTTTTATAAATTCTCCATTCACATTACCAAAAACTTCTCACCAGGTTTGGTCTAAAAGTTCTCATTTCTGCCAAAAAGAAGGAAAAATATAGTTTCATCACTCATTTAGTGCTTTTTTCCAGAAAGGGATGTTGCATTAGGTCAAAGGGTGAAATATAGTCTAGCATCGCATGTGGCCAGGAAATTAGCAGTCAGGAGGACTTTATTCTTAGCTCCGCTAGCGACTCAGATTGACAGTAGCTTAAGTTTCTCACTACTGTGAGAACTGCTAACAAAAGTGCTAACCTGTATGTACTATAACATTCTGAATAAGAAATGTGTACATTCTACAATAAATAATAGTTAAAATATTAGTGCAACTAAGAAGGTTGCATGTTTATAACAATACATTTTATACAAGGGTATTTATTAGGCAGTAAGATGATGTGTTATACTTTCAGGAGGAAGAGGAAAGGGATTAAAACTACCAATGGGTATTCACTATAAAGATAACAGAAAATCACATTTCTTCTAGAATAGACAGCAAAAAATTGGGAAATGAGGTATCTACTCTCCCGCCCATAAGAAAACCATCACAACCCTACTTTACCCTGTTTAATCACTTAACTAATCCATATAAAACTTTAGAGTTTAGTCTCAAGAATATGTTCACTGACTCTAAACAGGTTATACCATCTTTCTATTTCTCCTTGCCAATGTGCCAGTCTTGGTGAGGTGATTTCCAGACTGCTTTGCAAGAAATAGCTGATTGACACAGAGGCCACTTCCTTTTCAAAATGGTGATTGTTAGGTTCTAGGAAGAGGCATTCCCCCCCACCCCATTCTTCTACCACAGATTAACTCTGTAGAAGGATGGTGTCAGATCAGAGAAGGCTGTGGGAAGCAGGACTGCACTAACAAACAGGCATCAGGGCAATAGAAATATCTTGAACAATTTAATATAAAACTTCATCTTAAGAGAGCTAAAGCACAAAGGCAACCAATCTTCATATGCTTTAGTAGGGAGCTTTGATTGCTCATGGAAAGAGCTGAGAGATATTTAGGTCATTAACAGGATTGATGAAAACATATCTTTACAAGAGCACTTACAGAACCAGGTAGAAGATGTCCAAGGCTAAGAGCATGATGATAGGGAAATAGAGAGATGTAGAAACTAGATAATGAAGACCCTTAAAGGGAAAAAAAAAGAACCATGTAATACTGTTGCTGGTAGAACTAAGGGATTTGAAAAGAATCTGGACAAGATCAGAGCATCAGGCAAGGTAGATTATTTTTGCAACACAGAGCACTATAAATGCAATACCTATACCTTAAATTATAGCAATAAATCCAGTGAATTTAAATTTTACTTATAAATGAAGATTTCGGCTCAATAAAATATTCATTTAAAAACTGACAAGCACATCTCATGATTTCATGAACTGTTATTGTATTAATAGATTCTTACTGCTCTGAGATTAGCTTACATCTGGATATTATTGAGTCATAGTTCTACAGAATTGTTTTCTCATGTCAGAATTTATCACCTAAAGAATAGTCATATTTTTAATAAAATTGGGACTTTTTTCTAAAAATATTTAAACTGAGCCGTAGTAAGATGGCGATATAACATTTATCTTGGAAGTAAAGTTTAACAACACAAATCCAATTATGTCAAGTTTTTTTTAATATTTGTCAGATTATTCAAGTAGAAAATCCTAAATAGTTTAGCCTCTAGTGGTCTAGCAATAAGCAAACAATGTTACTTTTAACACAAAAGATCACTAGAGAGCCAAGTCAAAACTGATGTTTCTCAGTCAAATTCCAAAGAAGTTAGACCAGGTAATTCACAGAAAAAGACTTCACATTATTAGCTTATTATATTTCAAGCTGTTTAAAGAGCATTCAAGAATAACATTTACTTTGGCCATCAAATAAGCTGACATTCAATGCTATAGCTAAGGCAATAGTACAATTGTATCACTAGTGAATAGATTTTCATAATGTTATAAACTTTGCTCTTAAAATACTTTTAGATTAAAAGTTGATAAGCTTTTTGGGGCAAAAAAACACACTGAAAACAAATAGGCAAATATTAATTCCAATGCATGTAACTTTGTGATTGAATTTAGGTACAATGCTGTGCATTGACCAATGGCAAAGAAAGGACAACCAGCTGGAAGTTCTTATTAAATAAATGGGAACCTTGAATATCAGCATGATTCAGTTTCCTTGCTGTATTAATTTAGAAAAATTACCTGAAACTATTATACCATATGATTCAAGTAACAGATTGTTTTGGACACTGCAGGAACACAGACAATATGTCATCATTTTGGTTTAACTAGGTTGCAATTTCATTAAACACATGTGGGAAGCTATCTGGCAATAACTTGTTAGGTTCAGGTGATTTTGTTTTCTGCAATCTATAACACCAGGGGGAAGCTAGTCTTAGCCCATTTTTCCACACATTTAACTTGATCTCAAATACTCCTTCTGGAATCCCACTGCCTTCCCCCCTCCCCCAAGATGCTTAAAAAAATACAAGGGAATGGATCTTTGCTATACACAAATTAGGAGATTCAATCCCAGTTCCTACACTCTCTTCAAAGATGCATTCTCTAAATTTTGCTTCCAATTGTAGTTTGTCATGGAACCAGACTCCTTAGTGAATGATGACTGGGATTGAGCACCTGCCAAGGTGCACCACCATGATCTTTACAACCTAACTTAATAGGGATGAGCAGCTGAGAGGAAATCAAAAAAGTCCACTAAGACCAGGCCGATTGTCAGCAAGGGAAACGTTCCTTCTGATCCTCAACCCCCCAAAACAAAATGCTTTCCTCTGTCCAGGGTGCCGATTAACACATTGGGTGTACAGGAGCCAATAGGTTTCCACTGCTTTCTTCAATCTGCCTCATCAACTAGGAAATTCCCCTGCCCCAGCTAACATCCTGGTCCTCAAGCCCAAGAAGAAGATGGACTTCCTTAAAGAAATCTCAGGGCCTTCTTTCCCCTTCTATCCCACTATGCAAATAGGTCAGCAGAAATCATTTAAGAATTGTTAGAGTGTGTGTGTGTGTGTGTATATGTGTGTGTGTGTGTGTGTGTATATATATATATATATATGAATATATGAACAAGATCTGCTGCACCTATGAGAAACTGATCACTTATCCCTTGGTATTAAGATTCTTAAATAAATCTTAAATAATTAACCGTTTTCATTGATCCACAGTCAAATGTGGGGATATTCAAAATTGTGGATGTTGTTTAGATTTTAATCCAACCAGAGAGAAATCAAAGAGAGGAAAAAAGTCATAGACACACAACTTGACTATTATACCAGCAGCCTGGCTGGAAAACGGGTTTAAATCTCAGACACAGATACTCAAGAGTTTTGGTGTCTCTTAATCCTTAAGGGTACATCTAGACTACATCTTTTGTGTATCTTTTTCCAATACTTTTGTCAGAAGAGGCTTTTCCAAAATTTGGCCCGTCTAGACTGGGCCAAATTTCGGACGAGCCCCCTTATTCCTTGTGGAACAAGGAATACAGGGACTTCCAAAATAGCATGTTTGCTCTTCTGCAAAAAAAAAAGCGGAAGAGCAAATGCGTTCCCTGGACATGGTAGCCCGGAAAAAACTGTGTATTCTAGACATACCCTAAATCACAGACCCACGTCACAATCTAGCACACTTGAAAGTAACCAGGATTATAAGAGAAGGGCATTGCAAATGAGGCTTTAGGTGCACTGATAGATCTGTGTGTGGAGGCTTGCACAGTATCTGCCCAAGCTGCTCTCGGTTCAACCTGGTGTATTATATCTTGTTTTTCATTAGCACTAAATTAAATGACCAATTTAAAAAGCAAACAACAGAACTGTCAGGTTTACCTTTGAATTTCCTAGGTTTTGCCTATATCTCGGCTGTGAAAGTTAAGCTTTTCTTTGCAGTTAACATATGGTTGATAAAATATCAGTATAACAACACAGACCCTGTTGAGCAGCTCTAGTAATGTATGTCATTTCAATTCTAGTTCACAAACCCCTATATAGAAAACATCCAGCACACTCATTTAACAGCAACCTTTTATCCTACATTTTAAATCCTTATAACAACAAAAAAACAGCTATTTATCTAGTGTCTAAACTTGGTATGTACAGAAGTACTAAATGCAAAAGTTGCTGGTTTATGCTTACCCCATCTCAGATGTTAAACCATATGTACAAATGAACTCTAGGAAACCAAATGTTGTTTGTTTTTCAAACACTGACTTCACAATCTCAAATCCACAAACATTCTCATACAGTCTTAATGAAATCTATTTAGCATGTATCATTTATCAAAAGTAAACAGACCTAAGGCCAAACATTTTCAAAAGCGCCGAAGTTCCATTGGCTGTCAATGACACTTAGGCACCAAAGTTTCATAGGAACTTCTGATAACTGGTCTTGACTTGCAAATGTGTCAACCTCTGAAGCCAAACCCCTTACCTTTTAACTTCAGCTACAGCATCATCTGCAGAGCCTGCCACCACAGACAGACAATAAATGGTTAGTTTAGAAAGCTAAACTAGATAAAACTCTCACTTAGGACAAAGTGACCTTATAATTAAATCACAAATACGTATAAGCCACAAGAGAATGGACCAGAATAAGCACTGCTATGCCAGAGTAAATATGAAGACATAACAGGGCTAAGGAAGGTGACGGTGCCAGCGGCTCAGATGAGGTACCTTTACTTCTGCATGGAATTTTATAGAACTTAAAGGGGTTCAAATCAGCATAGAGGCAAACAAACAGCAGATTTTATTGCAGCTACTATTTACAGTAATTTAGGCCAATTTTCCCCAAGGGCTATGGGAGTAGGTTGAAAATGGGAGTAGGTTGAAAATCTGGCAACAGAAGAGGTAGAGCCCCTGCTGACTGGAAACTCCATGCCCCACCTGAAGTGCCTACAGAAATTCAGGTAGTGGGACAGTGGCACTCATCTATTTGTAATCCCCAGGAAACAGAGGGGAATATGGGACCTAAGACTGTACATTCTCCAGGACATGGGCCATTTGTCTACACAGCTCCATGAAGCCCCATGTTTACCTACTGCATTATAAAAATGTGACATGTTTAGGAATTCAAAATCCTGGCTGGGATAACAGAGGCAGACAGAAGGCAAGTAAAGGGAATTTACTGAGAAACTAAAGATGTATATCACTTACGTATGCTATAGTTACAGAGTGGTTGATATGTCTGTCCCTGATGTTTGCTGGCAGTTAGGTGGTTTTAGCTCAGATTTTTTAGCTTTAGAAAAAAAAATCAGGAGATATTATAAAATGAAAAGTTTTCAAATTAGACAATACACCTGTGTAAAGTTTCTTTTGCTTAGTTCTTTTTCCTGTTTTCCATTGTGGAGGCATGAGAGAGCACCTTTTAACAGAACAGTAATTCAGCAATTTTACTGGTAGCTAGGACTCGCTATAGGCAAACTCGGTAAGACCATTTCAAAGCTGTCTCTTAAAACTGATGCTGCTGTCATACAATATGCATTTGAAAGCATTTTTCTGAATTTGACAAAAAAAAAAGACCCTTAATCTAATAACAGTAGTGAACTCCCTATAAATACATCAATGGTAGAGCCTTTGATAAGTGTACCCATCATTTAATCTTATCAGTTCCCTCCCTGCTTTCTTGTGTTGAGTTTGAAAAGACCCATCAGGGAACAAGTAATTCTTCATGTTCTATGAACACTCCTAAAATCATAAGGAGTTGATAGAGAAGATATGTTATCATCAAGCCACATGGTATCCATATGAAAAAGTTCAATCTTTAGCAGTTTGAGAGCCATTATAGATAGTGTGTCCCTCACACAGAGAAGGTCTGCTTTGAGAAGGCTTAAACTAATGAGTGGTTGACCATCTCAAACTGACAAATAATCACTCTGAGGAAAATTTCTTTGCGTACCCTAAATGTCCCCAAAATACCCATCTATATAATATAAGACCTCATTTAAAAAACAAAAACAACAATAGAGTTCTAGCAGCACATCTTTAATGTGAAGTAAAAATACGAAATTATTAATAAATGGGCAACTAGTGCACAGAGTATTAGAAAAAAAATAAAATTTGAAAACATTGTACTGTAATAGGATACATATATATATGATATAGATATTAAATAATGGTTTATTTTCTAAAAAGAGCTTCAAACCCAAATCATTACATCATACCAGCTCTATATTTATCTGTAATGACTTTTCAATAGAGTACCTCTTGATTCTTTGAAAAAGATGTAACAGAACAATAATTGTTGTCTTGTGGCAAAATATGGTCTGACTAAAACATGCCCTATTTGTAAATACAACAGCAATATTGGTTGAATTAAATGTACCAGCTATTAAAAGAAAATTGTGAGATATTACCAACCTGAATATCTGTGGAAAATTAAGAAATGCATAAAAGAAGTTCAGTTATGAGAATTACTGTTCACTATTCTAACAAAACTTAAACAACAAATAGTCTCTAAGGTGCTGCAGGACTAACAAAAAAGTAGATGGTATCATGAGCTTTCGTGGGCACAACCCACTTCTCCAGATGAAACTAAAGAAACATTACTCTAACCTTTAGCTATTTACAAGGGACTGTGGTGACAGATTAAAATTTTGTGTGCATACTCACTCTGAGATTAACAATCTTGAGAGACTGAATATTCAAACATCCTTTTGTTTTTAATTCTTTGCAATTTCGGTGAATCAACTTTCAGAAGCCAATGCAGCAACAACCCATCTGAAAAACTGGTGGAGAGCTTGAATGGACAAATTTGAAAAGCAAGATCCCAGATTCAGTTTCTTAATGGTTTTTTGTTAGAACACTACATTAAGTGTTGCCATCTTTTCCTTCCTAATCAGTAATCTCTTCCACTGTAGTAGTCAACAACAGTAATTCCTACTAGCATCACTGAAAAAGGAAACAAGTATATTCCATTCTCCCCTTATTATTTATTATCAAGTTTAAACAGATAGGGACAAAAGGGTCTCAATCCTAGTGGATCGCTTATGTATTTTTGGAGTACAGGCAGTCCCCGGGTTACGTACAAGATAGGGACTGTAGGTTTGTTCTTAAGTTGAATCTGTATGTAAGTCGGAACCGCCAGGGAGACACGGAGAAGGCCCCGGAGTACACGGGCCGCAGGACCGCGAGGTCCCGCAGTCCGTGTCCTCCGGGGCCCCGTTCATAACTGCGGATCCGACATAAGTCGGATCTGACATAAGTCGAGGACTGCCTGTAATTTAATCAGTCATTTAAACCACAGTTGCTTACAGGTACTCAATTATTTCAGTGTAGCATTACTAGAGTCTTGGAGCCTTAAAATTCCAAGACAAGGGAATTTTGCTTAGAGAGGTGTCATTTTGAGTTTTCAGAACAGCCTGCATATGCTAATAGTGGTGCTTAGTGATGAAACCATTTACAATAACTCACCTTGAACCACACTGGATTAAATGGGAGGAAAAAGCATTTGTGTATTAATGAGCTGCTAGGTTAAGATGATAAAATATAGTTAAGTTCTACACATTTAAAATTAAGCCAGTACTGAAAATATTGAAGACTATATAATCATTATAAATCAACAATTTATACACTTTTACTGTCCCTTTTGTTGAAAAAGACTATCACTCTTTATGCATGAAATATGTACCAGCATTGTTGAAATAAAGCAGGGTGAGTAAGGAGGCAATAAACTTAACACAACACACAGGGGGAAATAGTAGGGGAAAGGGAAATGTTTTGGTCAGTGACATGAAGGCAAACTTCTCACCTTACTAAAAGCACCATGTCATCTTTAACATCCATGCAAAGCAGGCTGGAATTTTTTAAGGCCTCATTTTAAAGACACACACCCTCCCCCCCCATCATGATTCTACCTTAGCTGAAGAACTGGCACTTGTGTCAATGGTTTCAACAACTTGTGTAAATGTTTTATATCTGGTGGTTATGATCTCAATCCAAATTATGGACATTTTCTCAACATTTATTAAATAGGATTGACAATTACTCACACTAATATTTGTATTTAAGACTTAGCTGCAAATGCAGACATCAATATAATATTGCTCATAAGTATTTTTTATTTCTGCCATTAATACATCAGAAAGATACATAAACTACAAACTTCTTTTGTAGGACACACATATTTAAGCATCCTCAAATGATCTGAATCAAAGATATTTGGATTTAAGATTCAAGTTAGCCTATTTATTGGGCTTGTTTTCAAAAATGATAAAATATTAAGAAAAAATATTACAGTACTGTATAATCCCAACTTAAATACTATTGACATTATGTTCCTGTACATTCAATAACATCAAGCTAAAGAGAAAGTTTAAAAGCAGTGGTAACCAACCACTAGATCGGGATCTACTATTAGATCTTGGATCCTCTGACAGATGATCCTGGCTGGTTTGGCCAAGAGGCTATCAACTGCCCACACTTTGGCTGCTCCTCCCCCTACTGCTGTACACCTCCTGCCCTTTGCCTTGGAGCTGCCTCCCCCCACCCCGAGGAGCCTCCTGCTTGCTGTGCAGGAAGAGAGAAGAGGGGTTCTGATGTCAGGGTGCTCCTTCTCCCACCTTGTGGGCAGAGAGGGGGTACAACAGAACTTGGGAGGGAGTTTGCTGACTGGTTTTGGGAGTGGGCCAGGGCCAGGGTAGGGGTGAGCCTGCCTTAGCCCCACTGCACCATCACCCAGGAGCCACCTGAGATATGCAGAGCCCAGTTGGAGCTCACATTCTGAAACCCTACCCCAGTCATGAACCCCCTCCTGCATCCGAACACCCTTCCCAAGCCTGCATCTAGAACTCCTCTGGCACCCCAACTGACTGACCCAAGCTTAGCTCATGGTCCCTCCTGAACTCCAAATCCCTAAATCCAAGACCAGACCCTGCACCCCAACCTGCAGAATGACATCATCACGCTCTAATGCTCTCTGGCCACGAAAGCCACCAGGGAGAGGGGGGTTGGCAAGCATAGCAAGCACGGGGCACAGCCTGCTAGTATTACTTACAACCCATGATAGGTTTGCACAGCACTTTATAAAACAAGCAATTAACTGGTATTAAATATTTAACTTATTGATAGACCCTGCACCCCAACCTGCAGAATGACATCATCACGCTCTAATGCTCTCTGGCCACGAAAGCCACCAGGGAGAGGGGGGTTGGCAAGCATAGCAAGCACGGGGCACAGCCTGCTAGTATTACTTACAACCCATGATAGGTTTGCACAGCACTTTATAAAACAAGCAATTAACTGGTATTAAATATTTAACTTATTGATT